AAACATCATTTAAGCAAAGCTACACAGTGGAGTAGTAGAAACAAGTCATTTCTAGGAGGTAGATTGTTGAAACAAGAGCCTAAATTGAATTAGAATAGAAATCCCTTGAATTATAACTTCCTTAAAGTATACCAATATGTGCTGCCACGAATCATTCTTTGTAGTGCATCAAAAAGCCTACGAACATAAGAACAGGTACCTTCATTGCGCTTAAAATCTTAAGGGTATGATAAGCATGTCATAAAGCTGTCATCATAAGTTATTCGAAGGTAGGCAGAGGTGAGTCTTTGTAGATACGCTATCACTGTAGTCTCAGGTCAATATAGTGAGATTTATTCTGGTCATTTGCACGGCTGTCCTCCCTTAAGTATTCCAGTGGTTGACTGCTCTGTTAAAGTCTTAAAAGGCAATCCAATTTTATTTGTATAGCACAATTCAAGGACAATTCAAAGTGCTTTACATAAATTAAACAATAAAATATAAAAGCAGCAGAAGCTGGAGCAGAAAAGCAAATAAAGACGAAAACATAATAAAAACCGGTAGTGAAAAAACAAAACAGTTGGACCACACAATTAAACTAGTAATACATCAGTTAACAGTTTAACTTCAAAGGCATCTCTAAACAAATTGGTGTTAAACTTTGACTTAAAAGAACTCAAGCTTTCAGCACTTTTACTGTCTTCTGGGAATTTCTTCCAGATAAGTGGAGCATAGGAGCAAAATTCTGCTTCCCCATGTTTGGTTTTAGTTCTGGGTGTAAAGATCAGGTTAGAACTGGAAGACCTTAGTAGTCTTGGAGGTTAATACGCTGACAACAAATCTGTTATGGGTGTGCTAACTCTGGATCTCTCCTCCTTTGGTCGGAAGATTATTACCTCAGTTTTGTTTATATTCAGTCAGAGAAAATTATCCACATATTGATCTGTTCTAATCATCTAGCCAACGCTCATGGGTTCATTGTGATGTAAAGCTGTTTGTTGTCTGCATAGTTATAGTAACTGATCTTGTTGTCTGCTATAACCTGAGCTAAGGGGAGCATGTAGATGTTGAATAATAAGAGCCCCAGAAGGGAGCCTAGAGGAACCCCGCACGGGATCTTTCTGGTGTCTGGCTTAAAGTTCCCTACTGACACATAAAAGCCCCTGTCCTTCATGTAGAATTTAAACCAGTCCAGTGCAGTACCAGAGAGGCAGGCCCCGTTTTCCAGGCACTCTAATAAAATTAAATGATCAACAGTATCAAACACTTCACCAAGCTCCTTTAATACCTTTAACAGAGTTTATTCTAACTGGAGATAGTATTGGTACTGGAGCTGATGTTAATTTACAGAGTGCTCTTTTAATACTTTGTATTTTCTCAGTGGAGAAATTTGCAAAGTCTTTGCAGGTCTTTTTAAGATTGGAGTTCACTTCCCATGGAGATAGGAGGATTTGTTAACCTGTCCACCGAGACTAAAAAAAGTATCAGCATTGTAAATGTTATTGTTGATAATCACAGGGAAGATATATTCTTTGTATCTTTTAGTTGTAAATTATTTTGTAAAGTTTCTCTTTATAGATTTCAAAGTGAACTTGGAATCAATTTTTTTGTTACCATTATTCCGTTTTTCTGCAGTCTGTCTTTTCTTTTCCCACTGCCGGAGCATTTCTCCATAGAGATTTCATCTTCTCAGAGACAACTTTCCCTTTAACTGGAATAGTGGAATCAATGATGCAACTTTAAAATGGAAATTATCAACCTCCTTATCTACTGAGTTACAGGGTAAAGTGTAGGCAGAATAATAAGCCTGGGTAAAGTTTTCAATTGTACTGGCCATGATAACAACACTTTTATCCAGTCTTGTCCCATCAAAAAAACTCACATTCATGACTTGTTATGTTTTCCTCATGAAAGATCCATGTTCAGCTCGTAAGTTCTCATCATCGTCATGAAAAAGTTAATGATATAATTTTGTCATCGTCATTGTTTATGAAAACAACACTGGATCTCAGCGATGTTCTAGAGATAAAGTCAGCTGGAAGTTATTTTTATTTCCCATTGAAGAGAAAAATACATTAGAAGAACTTGGGAATAACTTTGCTGGTAAAAGGTAAAAACAAATATTTAGTATGCTTCAGCCACTTGTCTGTTTTTGTTTTTATTAAGTCTTGTTTTTCATATTTAGAGAAATGGAAGAGACTCCTCGATAAAACATACAGGCCAGTATAGATTTTAAAAAATGTTAGCTTCCTCCTTTATTGCTAAATTTTTTTATCCTTACCCTAACTGCCATAATTTCATAAAAACCTGTTTACAGTTAACAGTCTTTTCATGAACCAGTACTCTGCTTCTTTGTTGATAGTGCTCATTGGAGGAGTCCCATTAATATATCCTCTAAGAAGCTTCTCACAGTTTCTCTAGCTAGATTTTGCTATGACCTATACTTTACCATATACTTATAATTAATATGATAAGAACAATACAATGAAATATGACATGTGGTTATCATTCTCTGTCCTTTGGTCCGATGCCTGGGATTGTTGAAGTGATGGGATTGAGTTGAGCAAGATAACCTTCAGAACTTGGTTCCACCAGCAAAAGCCAGAGTAACTAAAGAAGTGGAGTGTACAAAGATGTTTCTATACATAAAATTGTCACATAATTAAGTAAGCAAAAAAAAATATATATATATACCACAAAATGTCAGCTGTTTAGTCAGCTAATGTATTAATAAGGAACACATTAAGTTTGTGGTAGATAGCACTGTAACTAATCCATTGGTAAAATTCAGTAAGGTGTTAATCATTACTGTGCTATAAACAGATTCATTATTCATTACTTAATGTGTAAAAATAAGGAATAGATAGTGAAAGCATACAGTCCTACTAATTGTGGCAGGAAGAGGTATAGGCTGCACCTGCTGGCGGGGTGATTGCAAGTGGGCCAATAGCGCCAGAGGGCGCTCAGTATAAAAGCAGAGGTGAGCTCCAGTCTGAGACTCGTTGTTTGCTGTGGGCACGTCGCGCACCGCGCTTCCGTGTTGAGCCGTCTGTGCGCAGAGTACAGAAACGTACGGGCGTATTTACCTCCACGTTTGATCGTGGGTGAGGTGGTTCCTGCAATAAGAGCCGACATTTGAGCGTTCCCATTTGGGTACAAGTGAGGAGAGCTTGGCCTGATCGGAATCTCCACGGATCATCACACTTAATGCTGCTGCTTTGTTTGGACTGAATTACCGCTTACTTAGCAGTCAAGCTCGGCGTGTGGGACACGCCCCCCACCCCTCTTCCGACATCAGGACAAGGAGAGGCTGATCGCACTGATTTCGGATTGACTTGGGCCAGATTGCTCATTTTGTTGTGCTTGTCAAGCACAAGGACTTTTGATGGTTTTATCTACATATTTTTATCTTTTATTGCCTGTATTTTAACGATTGATTTTTTTTCTTTCTATTTTCTTTAGACCGCCGGTGGTGCGCTCGGGTCTGGATGCGGCGTCCCTTTTTGGTGTGATTGCAGTGATTAGCATCAATAGGTGGAGGGAATAACAGAGAGTGGGTGACTTCACGGGTGTTTGCTTTGATTTCTTTGTTTTGGAGCCTACCATCCAGGACCCGACTGTACCCACCGGTAAGCCTAGTTGGATCTATTTTGTGAATTTTCTTTTGTTCAGATACAGGTATTTATTTTTTTTATTTTATTCTTTGTAATAAATTATTATTGTCTTGAAACTTGTCTCTTGCTCATTGCAAAACCGGACCTGCGTCCCTTTATTAATTCCTGGGTGAAAACCCCAGGTGGCGTGGTTGGCAACACTTAAAATTGTATAGTCCAAGCCCCTGAATGCCACATTTGGCGTTGCTGGTAGGATTAGGAGAGTTTACAGCCGGTGGAGCTTCACCTGCTGGTCTGGGAAGACGGTTAATGTTAGAATGCTGGCCTGCAGTTGTCCTTGCTGACCGCCGCAAAACTGGTTCACTGTCAGCCCTAGACGGACCAGGTGAATGACCAGAAGATGCTACTCCCCCATGAGTAACAATGCCTGATGGACCTGGCAACTGAGGTAGTGGATCCCCTGACTGAAAAGGTTGGTTAGCCTGCACCACTGTTGGAGCAGGAGGATTGCTACTCACCAAAACATACATATCCTCATCACCTGACATCTCATCTTCAAAGCGATGATCACCAAGTGGTGAGCTGGGACCAATGGCACCTTCTCCAGACTCTTCTACCACCGCCTTTAACAGTATGCGATTAACATTTCTGGTTTTAGCTAGATCAGTTACAGGTGCTATAGTATACACTGAACCTCCCTCACTGGGCTCTCTGAGGACTTTATACTTTACTGGGCCGTATAGGTCATGGATCTTATGACGTCCTCGTGGGGTAAAGTCCCTTAGCCACACTAGCTGACCAACCTTCAGGGGAGCATGTTGAACTCGTTGGTCATGGTGACTCTTGCGGCGCTCCGCTGCCACCCTCAACCTATCACGAGCACCCTGAAGGTTGGTCAGCTAGTGTGGCTAAGGGACTTTACCCCACGAGGACGTCATAAGATCCATGACCTATACGGCCCAGTAAAGTATAAAGTCCTCAGAGAGCCCAGTGAGGGAGGTTCAGTGTATACTATAGCACCTGTAACTGATCTAGCTAAAACCAGAAATGTTAATCGCATACTGTTAAAGGCGGTGGTAGAAGAGTCTGGAGAAGGTGCCATTGGTCCCAGCTCACCACTTGGTGATCATCGCTTTGAAGATGAGATGTCAGGTGATGAGGATATGTATGTTTTGGTGAGTAGCAATCCTCCTGCTCCAACAGTGGTGCAGGCTAACCAACCTTTTCAGTCAGGGGATCCACTACCTCAGTTGCCAGGTCCATCAGGCATTGTTACTCATGGGGGAGTAGCATCTTCTGGTCATTCACCTGGTCCGTCTAGGGCTGACAGTGAACCAGTTTTGCGGCGGTCAGCAAGGACAACTGCAGGCCAGCATTCTAATATTAACCGTCTTCCCAGACCAGCAGGTGAAGCCTATACCTCTTCCTGCCACATTCTACCCCCCCTTTTGTGTCGTTGTCCCGACGACTCAATTCCATGGTCTAAATAGGACAAAAATAGAGTTAGCTGTAGGATCAGGAGAGTTTACAGCCGGTGGAGCTTCACCTGCTGGTCTGGGAAGACGGTTAATATTAGAATGCTGGCCTGCAGTTGTCCTTGCTGACCGCCGCAAAACTGGTTCACTGTCAGCCCTAGACGGACCAGGTGAATGACCAGAAGATGCTACTCCCCCATGAGTAACAATGCCTGATGGACCTGGCAACTGAGGTAGTGGATCCCCTGACTGAAAAGGTTGGTTAGCCTGCACCACTGTTGGAGCAGGAGGATTGCTACTCACCAAAACATACATATCCTCATCACCTGACATCTCATCTTCAAAGCGATGATCACCAAGTGGTGAGCTGGGACCAATGGCACCTTCTCCAGACTCTTCTACCACCGCCTTTAACAGTATGCGATTAACATTTCTGGTTTTAGCTAGATCAGTTACAGGTGCTATAGTATACACTGAACCTCCCTCACTGGGCTCTCTGAGGACTTTATACTTTACTGGGCCGTATAGGTCATGGATCTTATGACGTCCTCGTGGGGTAAAGTCCCTTAGCCACACTAGCTGACCAACCTTCAGGGGAGCATGTTGAACTCGTTGGTCATGGTGACTCTTGCGGCGCTCCGCTGCCACCCTCAACCTATCACGAGCACCCTGAAGGTTGGTCAGCTAGTGTGGCTAAGGGACTTTACCCCACGAGGACGTCATAAGATCCATGACCTATACGGCCCAGTAAAGTATAAAGTCCTCAGAGAGCCCAGTGAGGGAGGTTCAGTGTATACTATAGCACCTGTAACTGATCTAGCTAAAACCAGAAATGTTAATCGCATACTGTTAAAGGCGGTGGTAGAAGAGTCTGGAGAAGGTGCCATTGGTCCCAGCTCACCACTTGGTGATCATCGCTTTGAAGATGAGATGTCAGGTGATGAGGATATGTATGTTTTGGTGAGTAGCAATCCTCCTGCTCCAACAGTGGTGCAGGCTAACCAACCTTTTCAGTCAGGGGATCCACTACCTCAGTTGCCAGGTCCATCAGGCATTGTTACTCATGGGGGAGTAGCATCTTCTGGTCATTCACCTGGTCCGTCTAGGGCTGACAGTGAACCAGTTTTGCGGCGGTCAGCAAGGACAACTGCAGGCCAGCATTCTAATATTAACCGTCTTCCCAGACCAGCAGGTGAAGCCTATACCTCTTCCTGCCACATTCTACCCCCCCTTTTGTGTCGTTGTCCCGACCACTCAATTCCATGGTCTAAATAGGACAAAAATAGAGTTAGCTGTAGGATCAGGAGAGTTTACAGCCGGTGGAGCTTCACCTGCTGGTCTGGGAAGACGGTTAATATTAGAATGCTGGCCTGCAGTTGTCCTTGCTGACCGCCGCAAAACTGGTTCACTGTCAGCCCTAGACGGACCAGGTGAATGACCAGAAGATGCTACTCCCCCATGAGTAACAATGCCTGATGGACCTGGCAACTGAGGTAGTGGATCCCCTGACTGAAAAGGTTGGTTAGCCTGCACCACTGTTGGAGCAGGAGGATTGCTACTCACCAAAACATACATATCCTCAACACCTGACATCTCATCTTCAAAGCGATGATCACCAAGTGGTGAGCTGGGACCAATGGCACCTTCTCCAGACTCTTCTACCACCGCCTTTAACAGTATGCGATTAACATTTCTGGTTTTAGCTAGATCAGTTACAGGTGCTATAGTATACACTGAACCTCCCTCACTGGGCTCTCTGAGGACTTTATACTTTACTGGGCCGTATAGGTCATGGATCTTATGACGTCCTCGTGGGGTAAAGTCCCTTAGCCACACTAGCTGACCAACCTTCAGGGGAGCATGTTGAACTCGTTGGTCATGGTGACTCTTGCGGCGCTCCGCTGCCACCCTCAACCTATCACGAGCACCCTGAAAAGCTACCTGAAGGCGGGCCTGATGCTCCTGAATCCAATCATGGACACTTCCAGCCACAGGTTCCTGAACTCTTCCTAAAAGGAAGTCAGCCGGCAGCCGAGGTTCCTGTCCAAACATCAAGAAAAAGGGTGATTCACCGGTCGCCTGATGGGGTGTGGTGTTGTAAGCATACAAAACATGTGGCAAACATGAGCTCCAGTCTCTTTTACGAGAGGGAGGCAAGGTTCGCAGTATGGTGTGCAGAGCTGCCTTCAAGGGGTGATTAGTTCACACAACACCTCTGAACTGAGTCAACTGAGGAGCATGTTGCAGCAACAGCAGTCACAGCTTGATCAACTTACCCAGAGTATAGCTCGCTTGCAAAAACCCAGCCAGCAGGGCCGTTCTCGGGACTCCATTATCTGTAGACGTTGCCAGAAAGCTGGTCATTTTGCTAGGGATTGTGATGGGGTTCGGGTTCCGGTACGAGCTTCTGAGAAATCACCTCAGGCGGCGGAAAACTCTCTCCCACCGAGTCGCTGAGCCACGATTCGGGTGGGGTAGTTATCGGCTCTAGCGGTGGGGTTTTTCAGGAAGGTTCTAATCTGGTGTCATCGTGTCCACACATGGCTGTGAGCATGGGTGGAGTCAAAGTTCCTTGTTTGGTGGACACTGGCTCTATGGTGTCTACAGTTACCGAGAGTTTTTTTACTCAATATTTTGAGTTGTGGGGTCAGGAGAAACTGCAGTCTTGTCATTGGCTTCAGCTTAGAGCTGCCAATGGCCTTGCTATTCCCTACATAGGCTATTTGGAGCTGGATATTGAACTTTGTGGTAAGATGGTTCCTCAGTGTGGGGTATTGGTGGTCAAAGATCCTCCTTGTGGCGTATCATCACAGGCTCCCGGTGTTTTGGGGATGAATGTGATTAGTCGCTGTTATGGTGAGCTTTTTAAGCATCATGGTTCAACTTTGTTTAACTCACCTGCTGTTTCCAGAGCTCCAGAGTCCATTAAACAGGCCCTCCATAGATGCCATCATGCCACCACTCAACCTCCAGATGACGGTAAAGTAAAAGTGTGTGGTAAGAAGGCTCACTATATTCCTGGTGGCACACTGAAAACTATACCAGCCACTTGTTCAGAGAGCTATTCAGGTAAAGCTGTTTTGTTTGAGTCTTTGGATTCCAGCCTTCCTGCTGGGCTCCTTATTTCACCTTCTTTGGTCCAGGTCACAAGGGGAACTGCTTATATCCCCATTGTGAATGTGGGAATCACAGATGTGGTTTTACACCCTCGTACCTGTATTGGTACATTGAGTTCTGTTCATGTTGTCAGCTTACCTGCAGGTGTCCAAGCAGTATCGTCAGAAATTGCCTCTATGGGAGAGAAAATTGTTGCTCCTTCAGTCCATGAGCAAATAGATGCATTGGAGGTGACTGGACTGTCAGCTGAGGAACAGGGTCGGGTAAGAGCTTTACTTAAGGATTATAGCTCAGTCTTTTCTGCACATGATGGCGATTTGGGGTGTACTAATTTAGTCACCCATGATATCCCTCTTTTGGATGACACACCAGTTAAACAGCGTTACAGACGCATACCTCCTTCTGAGTATGAGGCAGCTAAAGAACATATTCACAAATTGCTAGAGGCACAAGTAATTAAGGAAAGCAGCAGCCCATATGCTAGTCCTATTGTGCTGGTTAAAAAGAAGGATGGGACTTTGCGCATGTGTGTTGATTATAGGCAATTGAATGCTAAAACCAGAAAAGATGCCTTTCCCCTTCCTCGTATAGAGGAGTCCTTGGATGCATTAGGTGGGGCACGCTGGTTTTCCACGTTGGATTTGGTGAGTGGATATAATCAGGTGCCAGTATCGGAGGCAGATCAGCCTAAAACCGCATTTTGCACTCCATTTGGCCTCTTTGAATGGACTCGTATGCCCTTTGGCCTCTGCAATGCACCCAGCACCTTCCAAAGGTTGATGCAGCGGCTATTTGGTGACCAGCAGTGTAAAAGTCTTCTGTTGTACCTGGATGACATTGTTGTCTTTTCCTCCACATTCCAACAACACCTGGAGAGGCTGGAGGTGGTTTTGAGTCGGCTTCAGGGAGAAGGTCTTAAAGTAAAGTTAAATAAATGTGCATTCTTTAAGCCAGAGGTGCATTATCTGGGACATGTCATCTCCGCGGAGGGTGTTGCAACTGACCCCAGTAAGACGGAAGTGGTTGCCAACTGGCAGCCCCCCACCACAGTTTCTGGGCTGCGATCATTTTTAGGGTTTGCTAGCTATTATCGCCGCTTTGTGGAGGGCTTTGCAAAGCTAGCTGCCCCTCTTCACAGGTTGGTTGCAGAACTAGGGGGCACCAGGTCAAGGAAGCAGAGTGACCAGAGCACCATACCTGGTTGGACAGAGGACTGTCAACGTAGTTTTGACGAACTGAAAGCCAGATTGACAACTGCACCAGTATTGGGTTATGCAGATTTTTCACTTCCTTTCATTTTGGAGGTAGATGCAAGTTATGGTGGTTTGGGAGCAGTGCTTTCACAAGAACAAGGAGGCAGGGTGAGGCCCATAGCTTATGCAAGCCGTGGGTTAAGACCTACAGAACGCAACATGCTGAATTATAGCTCCATGAAGCTGGAGTTTTTAGCACTTAAATGGGCTATGACTGAAAAATTCCGGGATTACCTTTTGGGCCATAAATGTGTTGTCTTCACTGACAATAATCCATTGAGCCATTTGGCTTCGGCCAATTTGGGAGCAACGGAGCAGCGTTGGGCTGCCCAGCTGGCTTTATTTGACTTTGAACTCAAATATCGTTCTGGCAGAACTAACAGGAATGCTGATGCTTTATCAAGACAGCATCCTGTTGGTGTACAAGATTTGGAAATTATGGTTCCTGGTACAGCTCTCCCTGAGCCCTTGAGAGAGGTTCTTCAAGGGAAGAAAAGGGAGGTTACTCAAGAGGCTGTTATGGCCTTGCCTAACCATACCATCTCTGAAATCAGTGTTTTCCAGCAAGCTGACCCAACCATCCAGGAGTTCTTGGTTTTCTGGAGGCGGAAACGGCGTCCAACTGCAGATGAACGGCAGCAGGTATCTCAGCAGGTCCTGGTGCTACTTAGACAATGGGACAAGCTAGTGGAGGAGGATGGTGTTTTGTACCGGCAAGTGTTCAAACCTGCTGGCGGTGAGTTAATTTTACAGTTGGTGTTGCCAATTTGTTTGAGGGAGGACACATTAAAACAAGTTCACCAGGAGCATGGCCACCAAGGGGTGGGGCGAACATTAGAACTCCTACGCCAACGCTGGTACTGGCCAGGTATGGCCGCAGAAGTGGCACATTGGTGTCAGAACTGTGAAAGATGCCAGGTAGCAAAACAGTCTCAGCCACAAGCTCGTACATTTATGGGACATTTGTTAGCGTCACGACCTAATGAAGTTTTAGCTATTGATTTCACAATGTTGGAACCTACAAGCAAGGGACTTGAGAATGTGCTGGTCATGACTGATGTGTTTAGTAAATACACCCTTGCTTTTCCCACCCGAGACCAGCGTGCTTCAACTGTCGCCCAGGTCTTGGTGAGGGAGTGGTTTTTCAAGTTTGGCATACCTGTCCGAATACATTCGGATCAGGGTCGTAGTTTTGAAAGTCTGCTCATTCAACAGTTGTGCCAGTTGTATGGCATTGAAAAATCACGCACCACACCATATCATCCAGCCGGTAATGGTCAGTGTGAACGGTTTAACCGTACCCTTCATGACCTGCTGCGAACCTTGCCTCCCTCTCGTAAAAGAGACTGGAGCTCATGTTTGCCACATGTTTTGTATGCTTACAACACCACACCCCATCAGGCGACCGGTGAATCACCCTTTTTCTTGATGTTTGGACAGGAACCTCGGCTGCCGGCTGACTTCCTTTTAGGAAGAGTTCAGGAACCTGTGGCTGGAAGTGTCCATGATTGGATTCAGGAGCATCAGGCCCGCCTTCAGGTAGCTTTTCAGGGTGCTCGTGATAGGTTGAGGGTGGCAGCGGAGCGCCGCAAGAGTCACCATGACCAACGAGTTCAACATGCTCCCCTGAAGGTTGGTCAGCTAGTGTGGCTAAGGGACTTTACCCCACGAGGACGTCATAAGATCCATGACCTATACGGCCCAGTAAAGTATAAAGTCCTCAGAGAGCCCAGTGAGGGAGGTTCAGTGTATACTATAGCACCTGTAACTGATCTAGCTAAAACCAGAAATGTTAATCGCATACTGTTAAAGGCGGTGGTAGAAGAGTCTGGAGAAGGTGCCATTGGTCCCAGCTCACCACTTGGTGATCATCGCTTTGAAGATGAGATGTCAGGTGATGAGGATATGTATGTTTTGGTGAGTAGCAATCCTCCTGCTCCAACAGTGGTGCAGGCTAACCAACCTTTTCAGTCAGGGGATCCACTACCTCAGTTGCCAGGTCCATCAGGCATTGTTACTCATGGGGGAGTAGCATCTTCTGGTCATTCACCTGGTCCGTCTAGGGCTGACAGTGAACCAGTTTTGCGGCGGTCAGCAAGGACAACTGCAGGCCAGCATTCTAATATTAACCGTCTTCCCAGACCAGCAGGTGAAGCTCCATCGGCTGTAAACTCTCCTGATCCTACAGCTAACTCTATTTTTGTCCTATTTAGACCATGGAATTGAGTCGTCGGGACAACGACACAAAAGGGGGGGTAGAATGTGGCAGGAAGAGGTATAGGCTGCACCTGCTGGCGGGGTGATTGCAAGTGGGCCAATAGCGCCAGAGGGCGCTCAGTATAAAAGCCGAGGTGAGCTCCAGTCTGAGACTCGTTGTTTGCTGTGGACACGTCGCGCACCGCGCTTCCGTGTTGAGCCGTCTGTGCGCAGAGTACAGGTGAGGTTGGCTGGCTGCGTACTTATAACTGCTTGTACATTGTAGTCATAGAGCCTTTTATCAGCAGAAACGTACGGGCGTATTTACCTCCACGTTTGATCGTGGGTGAGGTGGTTCCTGCAATAAGAGCCGACATTTGAGCGTTCCCATTTGGGTACAAGTGAGGAGAGCTTGGCCTGATCGGTAGGTGGACTCGGTGACAAATCTTGTGATTTATTCCTTTGTTTTAAACTATTATTGTTGTTTAGGAATCTCCACGGATCATCACACTTAATGCTGCTGCTTTGTTTGGACTGAATTACCGCTTACTTAGCGGTCAAGCTCGGCGTGTGGGACACGCCCCCCACCCCTCTTCCGACATCAGGACAAGGAGAGGCTGATCGCACTGATTTCGGATTGACTTGGGCCAGATTGCTCATTTTGTTGTGCTTGTCAAGCACAAGGACTTTTGATGGTTTTATCTACATATTTTTATCTTTTATTGCCTGTATTTTAACGATTGATTTTTTTTCTTTCTATTTTCTTTAGACCGCCGGTGGTGCGCTCGGGTCTGGATGCGGCGTCCCTTTTTGGTGTGATTGCAGTGATTAGCATCAATAGGTGGAGGGAATAACAGAGAGTGGGTGACTTCACGGGTGTTTGCTTTGATTTCTTTGTTTTGGAGCCTACCATCCAGGACCCGACTGTACCCACCGGTAAGCCTAGTTGGATCTATTTTGTGAATTTTCTTTTGTTCAGATACAGGTATTTATTTTTTTTTTTTATTTTATTCTTTGTAATAAATTATTATTGTCTTGAAACTTGTCTCTTGCTCATTGCAAAACCGGACCTGCGTCCCTTTATTAATTCCTGGGTGAAAACCCCAGGTGGCGTGGTTGGCAACACTTAAAATTGTATAGTCCAAGCCCCTGAATGCCACATAATTTTTTTTCTTTCTGATGTAGTGAAACCCGTTTCATTTTACGGCAACGTAAACTTTAACTTCATACCTATTTTATAGCCAATTGTAGGCCATCAGCGTAAAAAATAAAAAGTTCTGAAACATATTGTAATTTTATTATAAACAAAAAAACATCTACAAAATCTTATTACTACTCACTTGTCAAACCACAGATACCTAAAAAGTCCAGGTTAGTTTTCAGTGTTTTCCAATTTGTAGTCCTTTAAATTAATTATTTAATTTATAATTAATACCAAACACCAAATATTCCATGATTGATCTTGTATTTGTGTACAAAGGTCTAATAACAAGAATGTTATCAAAATTCTTCAACAGTTTAGATTACAAAAATTAATAGCGTAGTTACCTTTGCTAGTACCTAGTGTCATGTTCGGCTGAACGTATTTAGCCCACATGCAGAACACACACGGCAACAGGGATCAGTTAACTGTTTATTGATAGAGAGAAAATGGAAGCAACGGAGTCGACGGGGAAGCCACAGCACCGGGACCCGTTCGACTTCTGAAAGGAGAAGTAGGTGACTAGCCGGAAAGGGCGATCAGGCAAAAATGAACAGAGGAACGTGAGCTTACCACCGGACGCAGCAACCTAACCGGGGGAGGACGGAGCGGACTCAGGCTCTGATCGATGGAGCTGGTGGCGGGTGTCTCAGTGACAGGTGAGGCTCGGGCTTGAGGGTGACAGAGCTGCGCTGACTTAACAATGATCCGGGGCAGCAGGATAAACCAGAGTGGCTCGAAGCACCTTGCTTTGAGCCAGGAGAAAGGGAGGACCCTGTGGGAACTCAGACCCTGGAGTCAGCACGAGTGGGACCCTCTGAAAGGCGATCGAGAGGTAACCTGGGGAACAAAGAGGTTTGGGTTAACGAGGGAAGTCAGAACTCAGTAGAGAGACTGTGGCCTTAGTCGTACCACTACGGTTAACACTCTGGCGTCCTCCTGCTGTCTGGATGCTGCTCTTATAGTGCGATCAGACGCAGCTCAACCAGCCACAGGTGTGAGCGCCCTGCCCACCCGTCAACTGCAAACACCTGCGGAGAAAGCAGAACCGGCAGAAACTGCATGGCCCTGTCGGCTGAGTCCTGACACCTAGTTACTTTTATTCAGCATTAAGTGAGTTATTAACTCAGTAACTTTTTGGAGAGGCAATTAGTAACTATTAATAGTTACTTTTTTAAGGTAACATCCGCAACACTGGTAGACAACTTACCAGGAATTAGCCTGTTTTTAAATCTGTTTTAGATTATGCAGAGCAGCAGAAATCTGTGCTGTCAGGCGACTCTTTTGATTATGCTTTTATGAAGAAAAGCCATGATGTTGATCAGTCAACTAGTCATTACCCTTTGATGAATTTTTCACAAAGAGTAGTTCCAAGATGTTTTAAAACAAGAAAATACAGATTAAACATTGTTACTCCTCTAGAGATAATCAAGGCTCAACGTCGTTCTTTTGGTTTTAACAGCCATTTATTGTGGACACGTCTTATAAAGCCCCAAAAAATGCCGTCAGAACTAAGAAGGGAAACAGAACCCAAATTAGCTCTAAACAAATATAAAGCTTTACACAAATAAATATAGGTAAAACAAAGTCATACCTCATTGGCCGCATAAACTCCAGAGGAATAAAGATAACTTATACAGCTTTTCTTAGAAAATCAGTCTTAAAGCTTTCTGGTGAAACTTCTTGAAGAAACGTGCAAAAAAAAGAATTGTGTCAATCAATCTTCCCGTGGGCAACAACGTGAAATGCGGAACAAAAAACATAGGTTCCTCCTTACATTTTAATGAGCTTTTTAACCAATGTACAAAAACATAAATTTACTGAAAGTTATTTATTTATTTATGATTAAACTTTTAATTTCAATACTATTATGTATTAACTCTCGTTTTGAACTAAATATTAGAATATTTAAATGAGTTGACTCTGATGGCAGCTACACTCCCACCAAATCACTTGTGATTTCCTTAATAACTTAAAAGAGCGTCTACCCTGCCTCCAACAATGTCACTGTCTTATGAATAGGTCTGTCCAAGTATACTTGTTTAGTCTGTCTCTTGCCATGGTTATCGAAGGAAGAGTCACTGATCAATAGCTGCACCTTTCGCACACATCCATCTTCACTTGGATAAACTGCTGTGACCTTAGCAAGTTTCCAGTCGTTTCTTGGTGCTGGTTCATCTTTGATGAAGACTATGTCATTGACTTTTGCATTTCTTCTTGTTTTCTGCCATTTTTGTCTGTGATGTTGACCCAACAAATATTTCTTTTTCCATCTTTTCCAGCACTCAGTGGCTAGGTATTGAAGTCTTTCTTTGACATAAAACGGGCCAAAACAAGCCCTCCCACGATGTGTGCATGGGGAGGTTGTTTCCATGCTCTCATTAGGCAGGTTTGCCATTTTCTGTGCTTCTGTTCCTCGTCTGGATTTCCTGCATTTGACACAGTTGTAGATATAGGATGACACTGCTTGACTACATCCAAGTATCCAAATGCCATTTGCTCTTATCTCATTTATTGTCATGCTCCGGCCCTGATGTCTCACACGTTGATGATAGTGATCAATCAGTAACCTTGTGATGTGGCTTGTCTTTGGTAAAATAGCTGGGTGCTTGACGTATGGATGAAGAGTAGCTTGCTCTAACCTACCTCCCACTCTGAGGACACCTTTGTGGTCGAGAAAGGGGTTGAGTCTATGGAGCTTATTTGTCTTGTCTTTCGTTAACTCCTTTCGGGACTGAAGCTCCTTGATCTCTTTGGAGAAGACTGAGCCTTGTACGATGGCTATGATCGCAAGTTCAGCTTCTTGTCTTTCTTCAAGACTTGTAGGTTCATTGGTTCTCTTTTGCTTTCTCTTAAACTCTTTCCCAAATCTGATGAGCCTTGCGGTAGCTTTGACTAGTCTTGACCAGCTGGAGAACTTCACAAAACGTTCCGCCAAAGAATCTATACTTGCCAGCTTGTGGTTCGCAAATACTTTCCATACTTCTGGGTCTTCTAATCCAGCTTCTCCCACCTTAACCTCTCCACTGGGTTGATCACAATGTCCATCTTCTTTAACTTTCACTCCATCTTCCATTATAGAAATGAAACATAAATCCTCTTGAGAGAGATGAGAATCTTCCACTTTCTTTTCATTAAAATCAGATTTGAGAACTTTAATCACACTTGATGGCGTGAAAACTTCCTTGACCTGAGTGCGGCAAATAAAGTGCACCTCTTTAGATAGCTGATCAGATGGTGAACTGGGTGTTACTTCCTTAATTATCCTGTGACTACATCCAATAATTTCCCCATAGTCAACACAATGATCAACACCTCCGACTATTGTCCAGCCGAGATCTGTCCTTTGAGCGAAGGGCTCATTGTCCTTTCCTGACACAACTTCTCTTGGTGCCAATGCTTGCGAACAGTTATAAACTATTAATAGAGCAACATCGCATTCAATAAGAGGGGCAATTTCTTCAGCCAGGTGCTCCAGGTGAGGCCATGCTCTTGCAGTCTTTGGTGTGGGAATATGGCTTAAATTGGCAGGAATAAAATCTCTAGTATATGTCATAGGAAGAGGGATTCTCTTTGAAGAGTAGAAGCCTCTGATTTGTAGCCCAGAGAGCCTTTGACTTGGAACAACCGTATCTTTAGATGACAATGTAGAGAGCTTTAAATGTACTTCTCTTTTCTCTGTGTCCAGAGCATCTGCCTTTTCTTTGAGAACAAATGTAGTGTCACTTTGACTATCCAGAAGGGCGTATACTAATATTTCCTGTTCTGGATTGCTTGCTGTGGATAACCAAACTGGAATCACTGTAGATGTAAGATTGCTCTTATCACCTTGGATCACACGGTTTGAGATTGCTTCATTTGATATTTCTTTACCTTGTGCTTTGGTTACTTTCACTTCACTTTGTTCTTCATCGCTGTCCCTGTTTCTTCTGGACTCTTTGTCCCGTTCTTCGTGTAAACATGTTGGGTGTTTTCCCTTACAGGTGTTACAAATGCTTCTTCTTTCACATTTTTTGGATTGGTGTCCAAAACTGAGACATCCAAAACATAGTCTTTTTAATTTTACAAACTTCACTCTTTCAGGTATGGCTTTCTCCATAAACTTCCGACAATTCTGAATGTCATGATTTAATTTTTCACAGAAAACACATTTGTTTGTTTCTGTTCTCTCTTCTGTGCTGCTTGCAAAGGCCTTAGCACAGACACTTTGAGCCTTTAAAGTTTTCACTTTCTCTGAGTCATTTGCCTTGAGAGCATGTAGCGATGTCACTGGGTTACATGCTATTTTAGCTTCTCTTGTGACAAAGTCAACAAAGTTGCTAAATGTTGGAAATGAACCCGTCTCCTCTTCAATCTGAATGACTTGTCTATTCCATCTTGCTGTAAGCCAATCAGGCAACTTGTTGAGCATTCTCTGGTTCTCACTGCAGTCATTTAAAACCTCGAGACTCTTTATCTGAGACATTGCTGCTTCACAACCCCGGAGAAAATCAGAGAACTCTCTCAGTTCAATACAGTCCTTTGTTCCAATTTTCGGCCATGATGAGAGCTTATCTCTGAAGGCTTTAGCGATTATGAACGAACTTCCGTATCTTTCCTCTAGAATGTTCCAAGCTGACTGATATGCTGTGTCTGTTTCCAGTAGAAAGTAAGCTTCGATGGCCTTTCTTGCAGGACCACCAACATACTTTCGTAGGTAGTAGATCTTTTCACCCACTGGAATGTTCTTTCTTTCAATCAGCATTTGAAAGGAAATTTTCCAGTCCTTGTATTTGATTGGATCACCATTGAAAACAGCAGGTTCAGGAACTGGTAGCCGGCTAATGCTGATGGTCTCTGCTAAAACCTTAGCTAGTACTGCTGTTCCATCTTCCTGTGTTGTAATGTTGGTAGGTTGCCCAATAGAGGTGTCTTGTGGCATGATGAAAGCTTGTGCTCTTGGATTGAGGTTTGAAGTTGGAAGCTTGGGTTCAGACTGGTTTACAACATTGTCTATGCTTCTTTGTGATTGGCTCCTATTATGCAAAATATCTGATATTTCTTCATCAGAGCTGTATTCCTGATCATACACTTTCAGTCGTGCTTTAGCAGCATTAATTTGCTTTACAGTTTCTAAACGCTTAAGCTCTCTTCTTCTTTGCTCTAATAATCTTTGAGTTTCAGCATTTTCTGCTTCTTGTTTTGCAAGCCTTTCTTTGTTTTCTAATTCAAGCTCTTCCAGTTTCTTTCTCTCACACTCCATTTCTTCCATCATCTTTAGAGTGGCTTCCATGGCAGCCAGTTCTGCTGCTGCCTCTTGCCTTTTGACAGACAGCTTACTTGAGTGGCTTGAACGTACACTACTTGACTGTTTGGAACTTTGGTAACTTTTTGGAGTGCTCACAGAACTAGCTTCAGTACGGCCCAATGATCTCTTTTCTAGATCCCTATCATCTTCTTTTGCAGCCATGTTTTCTTGGGCTTGCTTAATAATTTTTCTGGAAACTGCATCACATGTGTCCACTCTACGACGAGTGTCTCTATCAGGTGTTTCAAAACTGTGCATCTCCTCATAGACTTGCATCACTTCTCCTGATGTATATTGAATTTGAACAATATGATTGTGCAAACTTGTTGTTATATGTGCTTCAAGTGCTCTTTTAGCTTGTTTAGCAGCAGTTTTCCATTTGTCATAACTGATCTTGAAACAAGCATAAAGCTTGTTCATTTTTTCTTCGTGCATCACTTGGCCTTTTTCAGTTAATTTTCTCTGTCTTGTGCTTTTCCTTAAGCCTTCTGCAGAAGCAGCTTCACTTGTGGTTAGCTCTCCAGGGTTTCCTTTTTGTTGCACCTTCACAGCTTCAGTCATACAGTCTTCCTGCATGGCCATTTCACTGTCCATTTCGTTTATGTGATAAAGGTTTTCTTAAATCTAACTTAAAAATATTTCTATATTAAAATGTAGCTTCTAGCACTAACCTTTCAATTATAATTTTTCCTTAAATGAACTTAAATTTAGTGTAACTTTAACTCTACTTAAATACCACCTTTTTTTCCTTATTTTTATTTATTTATTTTTTTAAACTTAAATTATTTCTATCTTCAGGATGAACTAAAATGTGGTATAACACCTTAAACTACGGTGGCTGGGAAGTGCAAATCAACAATACAAAATCTGAAACACTTAAAAATCTTGAAACAACTTTACATTTGAGAAAACAAATTTACAACAAACGAAACACTTTTACAAATCATAAAACAAATTTACATTTGAGAAAACAAATTTACAACAAACGAAACACTTTTACAAATCATAAAACAAATTTACATTTCAGAAAACAAATTTACAACAAACGAAACACTTTTAAAAATCATAAAACAAATTTACATTTCAGAAAACAAATTTACAACAAACGAAACACTTTTACAAATCATAAAACAAATTTACATTTCAGAAAACAAATTACAACAAACGAAACACTTTTACAAATCATAAAACAAATTTACATTTAAGAAAACAAATTTACAACAAACGAAACACTTTTACAAATCATAAAACAAATTTACATTTCAGAAAACAAAATTACAACAAACGAAACACTTTTACAAATCATAAAACAAATTTACATTTCAGAAAACAAAATTACAACAAACGAAACACTTTTACAAATCATAAAACAAATTTACATTTCAGAAAACAAATTTACAACAAGCGAAACACAAGCGGCAAAACACAGTTACATAGCCAAAAACAAATTAACAAAAGACGGCTACACAGAAAGGGAATGTCCCAGTGGCAGGATGTGACGTCACGATTACCCTGACTTGTAGTACAAACAGCTCAATCTGTAGTCCTCCTGCTTGGAAAGTCAGCGCCGAAAATTAGATAGAAAGAATTGCACTGAAGCTGTTTTTACGCTGACCGAACAATGTTTTGCCCTTATTGTGGAGCACATTTCAGCCAGTTTACACAATTTTGTTGTTCGTGCGGACGGTCTCTGGAACTTTTACGGGACACGGACCAGGTGGCAGGACCAAGCGCGCAGGTAACATCAAAGCTACAGTTAGACAGTTCTAAACAAAGTAAGTGGGATATTGGTTTGCACTAAGTTTAATGTACCTCCTGCATATATCAATGAAATAACAAATTCATTGGAACGTTTGTTTAACATGCGGTTAAGCCAAATGTTTTCTGTTTTGTTTTGCTTGTTCTGTGTTAGCATGCTATAAGTAGGGGCTGTTAATAAGCGTGTTTTAATGTAAAGCTTTCTATTCCAGAAGAACAGACATGCCCATCATACAAACAGTTCATTGAGTACAGGAGCTCTAAATCAAGAGAGCGACAGTCTTTTAGCTACGGGTCCAAATTAAAATGTCAACAACAGAGCAAACCTGTCCAGGTAAGTAGGCTACTCAACTATGTATGGGATATGAGGGGATACGATTTCTGTCGGGGATAACTACCTTGGCACGACACCGTCTTAACACTTGGAATACAGGATTATTAAATTTTTACGTGATCGTTCTTGTGTTCTTTGTTACCAGATAAACATAGGACTGATGGTGGGTCATGGAACTGAATTAAAACCTCTAAGAGGGAAGACACTGCCTTTATTTACAAACACGGAGATAACAGCACAGGACCTATTGAAACAGGCTGTACAGAAAATGAGAACATTTAACAAGGACCTGGGGGAGGGGCCATACGTCCTTTTGTATCCAGACTGTACAGAGGTGGTGAATGTGCCTGGGACAGAGAGACCATTTAGATTGGCAGACTATAAAAAAGAAATAGGAAAGACATACCCCAGAATCACTTTTTTCATCTGCCCAGAGGAACATTTCAAAGGAGGTATGTGGATGTCAATATTTGAGTTTTTTGTTTGTTTGTTTTTTTTTTTTTTTTTGCTGAATTTAAACTCTAGAATGCACGATAATGTGTTATTTTCAGCCTCTACTACAGCAGATGATACCTCAGACTCTGATTCTGAAATTGTCATCACTTCTAGAAGCACAGCCGAGTTCAATCAAGCTGACACTGTGGTATGTAAGTTTTTCTCAAAAGTATTTTTTTTAGCATAAAACCATTAGCATATGTGTTCTGGTAAATCCTTCCGGAGAAATTTGATACACTTATTGTATTTTCAGAAAAAGTAACTACTATTTCACCAATGATGCAGTAAGCAATTAAGAAACTATTAAACATTTTAAGAGTTGTATGCTTTTCTTCTCAGGTTTTTGAACCACAAGACCACAGTTCCCCTGATTACAAATATGTTGAGAAAGAGTAAGTTTTTTTCTCAAAAGAGAGAATTTTTCATTCAGATATACCATTAATTACCCCAGAGCTTTTTTTGTTCTTATAAATATGTGGCTGGAGACACTTTATTTTTTACAAAATGCCATTTACAGTTGTGATTAAAAGTTTGCATACCTTCAAGGTCAATTCACAATAGTAGTTCAAATAACAAGGAACTGATAAAGTCACAACAAATAAAAATGTACTGAATTATACTTTAGTTAAATTAAATAGTAATTTTGAATTTATTAAAAGAAATGTCCCAGAAAAATTAGAGCACCTTGCTCATGAACAGAGGACCAGAATACCATCAACAGCTGCAGACGTCTGATTGGACGTTAAAGCAACCCTTACCGATCTTGCATTTCATAAAGCACAGCAAGATTATTTGAATCTAAACAGTCCCACCTCACTCCTAAGACCAACCCCCCCCCCCCCCACCCGCCTTCATTCTCTCTGCCTCCCAATGCAGAATCAAAGGTCTTTCAGGCAGGTCCCTCAGCCAATCCTATGGGTGCACCCCCCTGCAAGGATTGGTCAGAGTTTTCTTTGAATATTTAGAGATTGGAATAATATTTCATCAGTCAGTCATTTTCTGCACCGCATATCCAGTTCAGGGTTGTTGGGGTTGCTGGAGCCTATCCCAGCTATTATCAGCTGAGAGGCGGGGTACACCCTGCACAGGTAACCAGTCTGTCACAAGACCAACACAGAGAGACAGACAACCATTCACACTCACATTCATACCTAGGGGCAATTTAGAGTGATCAATTAACCTATCATGCATGTCTTTGGATGGTGGGAGGAAGCTGGAGTACCCGGAGAGAACCCACACATACACGAGGAGAACATGCAAACTCTGGAATAATATTTCATTTTGATTAATGGTGGGTCTGTTTGTAGTTCAGAATTCCATTACCTCATTCATGGCACTTTACTCTATTAAAAAATAGTGTAAGAATGCAATATTGGTAAGAGTTGCTTTAAAGAAAAGATATGGTTATGTTTGCCTCAGAATTTTGCCCAATATTTTAGTTCAGTAGCCCATCACGATCGCTTACTTGTTTTATTTTTTGTGTATGATATATCTGTTGAATCACAATTCAGAATCAATCATTATGTTCATATTTTTTTAATGTGTTATTACTTTTGTCAATTTCAATTCATTCCACTGGCAGCAGATTTTTTTTCACTCTATTTAATGGTAAGAGGTGTAAACTTTCAAGCACAACTATATAATGAAATTATCATATTTATGTCTCTTTTATGTTCCTTGACATCAAAATGTTACCCACAATACTGTTATACTCTGTGTCTTCAAAATTATAACTTCACCAATTTTTTCATATTTCAGAGATGTGCCACAACGTTTATCCACAGTACAACCTGGACAGGTATTCAGGCACTTTATGTCAACCTGGAGTTTCTTGCCATCATTGTATTTTTTTTCAGATTGTGATATCTGATACAGAGGATCTCGATCCACTTGAAAAAAACAATCAAGTCACAACTCCTTATAGGTTAGTGAAAGATGATACTGCCCCCTATCCCCAATACTTCCATTTTTTTTTTTTTTGGACATTTGGGTCCAAACAATGAATGGTTGAATGGAACATGTTTTAATGTGGAAATAATTGTTTTTCAACAGCAAATACTCTGAAATGTGTGCACCCTATATTGAGGAGGATGATGAGGAACTGGTTGAAGTTGCTTCAACAAATGTACAGCACACAGCAAAGTAAATTGACATATAAATAATATTTTTCTAAAAAAAGAAAAAAAGAAGTACTCTGCAGTCATGAATATCTTCTTACTGTGTCACTCTTATCATTACAGGGAAGATTTAAACATTACTCTACCTGACATCATTGCAAACCTGTCCCACACTATTGATCATGGAAGAGTCAGCAGATTCAACATCTCAAGGGCAAATGTTTGGGATGGAGCAATTAGAGGTTTCAGGCGTTCATCATACTCTGAAACCTGTGACATGCTAGTAAAATTTACTGATGATGCTGGAGTTTTTGAAGAAGGACTTGACACAGGTGGCCCAAAGCGGGAATTTTTGAGCCTGCTTATGAAACATCTGAAAGATCGTCCCATCTTTGATGGACCAGAAGGACATCGGTTCTTGGTGTACAATGCAAATGGTATGTATACTGTAGGATCAGGTATTTGCTAAATGTTTACATAGCTTTATTTATTGAATTTTTTTTGTCACTATTCTTAATGAGTTGTCAGACCTCCTGATTTTTTTCCCCAAAAAAGCAATCCCTGACTAATCTAGCAACATTTTCTGGTGTTATTTGAGACTTTTGGAGACAGCCCTGATATAACATATTGTTTATTCCTCTCTGAGTCATGGTGCTGCCCCAGGGCCCGTTCCGTCCAAAAAAACTCAACTGTCTCGTTGTTCATGCCCAGCATCCAGCTCTCAGCATCAGTTCCAGCTACAGTCAGAGCAGATTTTCACCTCTGCTCTATTAAGCAGACTCAAAATTAAACTCAAAGCTGACACTAGCTGATCCCCCCCTGGTTTACCATTAATATTAATGCCTCTTAATAAAGGGGAAAAACAACATTTAAAAAGTTAAAATTGATGGAACATGTTGTGCAATCTAAATTAAAGAACAGCCGAAGCTGTTTGTTAAAGTACTAAAAATGGAAGAAGAAAAAACTGTTTGATTTTTGGCAGAATCATATTATTATTATTTTTTTTATTTAAATCAATTTTTAAAATTTCTGAGAAATTGATAGAAATTGAGTTTACAACATTAATGTCTGTATCTATAATTTGATTCAGCTTTTTACAAAAATTAATTTAAACACAAAAAATGCTTTTGGGGCGAAGATTGTTATGTAAATAATTGAGATTAATTCATTGAAAAACCTCACACTGGATTTTTTTTTTTTTAAGAAAGAAAATCAAGTCCCACCCCATCCATCCAGTCTGTCCATCTATCTATCCATCCTCTCAACCTGTCGGTCTGTCCGTTCGTCTGTCTGTTGTGTCATTGTATGTACTGTATATGTAAATAAAATTCTCTATGTATTAATTTACAGCTGTTAGGGAGGATGAATACTTCTTGGCAGGAAAGATGATTGCAGTGTCAGTTGTGCACGGAGGTCCAGGACCCCATTTCCTGTCAGAAGATCTGGTACATTATCTCGCAGGACAGGCTTCATTCAAAGCAACAGTTGCTTCGGTAACTGATGAGGGTATAGGGAAAGCTTTACAAGAGGTGAGGACTGCACACAGTTCCAGTGTTATAGGTCAGAGTAAATGCATTGAGTTATTTTAAGAGTTTTCACTTACTTTAGTCTATATTGTACATTAGCTTAATTTAGTTGAGTTTACGGTATGTGTTATTTGTCTTGAATAAAAAGGAGGAAGGAAATCTAGGCTACAGTCTTAGTGTTTATGTTCATTTTTATATCCTTCAGATTGAGAATGCTGCTTCAGTGGATGTCCTGCGTGAATGTGTCATTCGACACAGCACTATGCTGCAGACAGCAGGTTGTCTGCGACATGTTTCCTCTGTTGAGGAAAAGAAAGACATTGTGTCCGACTATCTCCGATGGTACATTATTGACCGCAACTCATCTGCACTTGACAGGTGAGATTGTATTAAAAATAATAAAAATAATTCTACAGTTGTGTACAAGTTGTTTACAATTTACTAAATTATGATTTAGTAAATTGTACTTTATTTATACTTTTTCAGTTTCTTTTTATTGGAATTAATATTGTGAATTTAACCTTTCTTTAATGGTTGTGCAAATATTCAAGCACAACTGTATGCTTGTGTTGTGAACAATTTGAGTGTGGGAACAATACAAACTGTCAGAGCTTATATTTCACAAGGCCATGTATGTATAAACATATTAATACAGTGTGATCAGGCAGTGACATCATGTGTTCATTCTTCAGATTTAAAGATGGTCTTTCAGCACTGCACTTTTTGGATGCGCTTCAGCAACATCCCACCATGCTGTCCCCAGTCCTGTGCCACATTGAAAAGAAGCTCACAGCTCTTGAGCTAGAGCAACTTTTCAAACCTAACTTCAGTCCAGTCGGGAGTAACAGGAGACTTCTAGAGAGTCAAACTATGGGCTACTGGGCAGATTATCTCCTTGACTGTGAAGGTTTGTAAATCTTTTACAACTACGTGTGAAAAAACAATGTGAAATAGTGTCTGGAAAACCATATCTTTTCTTCACAGAAGGCCAGGCTGCTGTGTCTGTGGAGGATGTTTTGATGTTTGCAACTGGGCTGACATCACTTCCCCCTTCTGGATTGGACCCACTGCCAAAACTACACTTCCTGGATGACTCTCGATTCCCAATGGCTAATATATGCCTGAACACATTGAAACTGCCACTGATAGATTCATACCCTGTGTTTAAAACACAAATGGACTTTGGCATTCAGAATTCTCCAGGGTTTGGCTGTTTCTAAGTCATGTGACTAGATAACCCCAGAGATCAAACTTGTTTGGTTGTACCACTACAGATGCAGATTTGTACCCATATTTTTCTTTTCTTATTTGTTATATATTTTGAATGAGAGAGGGGTGGGGACATGGTGGTATCAACGCCAAAAACAATTTCAGTTTCAAGAGGTCACCCTGACTGTCAACAAGAGCTGCTCTTTATTTTTTCTATTCTTTTAGAAGACAACATTGTAAATTCAGTTAATACTGTAATCGTGCTTCTGAATTTAAAATAGTTGCATGACAAACATTGATTTCTTAAATGTCACTATTTTTACATTGGTTTAAAAAGAAAGCTTTTGAAGGAGTAATATGTTCTATATACTCATAGCGTAGGCATAAACATACATTACTGTGCAATACTTTTCTTTTTCAAATGTTTGGGAAGGTAATATTTCTTGATGTTCGCCCACTTTCTTCAGGTTAACATTTAAGCATTACAGTAGACAAGTGCTAATGCAAAGAAACAGTGAAACTAGCCAATATTCAGCTTTTTCAGTTTTCTAAGCAGTTGTTGGTGATTCACACTGATTTAGAATTGAGCAATTTCTTTCAGCTTTAAGTAAAGTTCTGCAGCAGACTCCCAGTTGTGTGGTGCTTGTAAATTATGATTCTCCATAACCATGTCCATGTACTCCTGTATATTTGAGTTCCCACAAGGAGGTAAGCACAGCCTGGACTCAGGGAAAGCATCCAGCTCAGCTTGATGAATGGGGAATCCACAGTCCCTGGAGCCATACCTGAGAAAAATGAAAGACAAAATAGTGTTGGTATACATTCAGGCATTTAAAATAAAGAAAAAAAACAAACAAACAGTTACCTGTGTGGTAAATAGTACAGCTCATTGGGCACTCCTCCTGGGCATGAAGCTGTTCTTGAAGGACGTATCCGATGACTGTTCCACAGTGTCACACACTCATCTAGGTCCTTTTGAACAACCTCACCAAAGCAAAATCTCAATAGGCACTGATGCTCATGACTTCCATTGAAGTGTCCTGCATCTCTCAGGTCTGCAAATAGCTCCATCCAAAACTGAGCCCTATAAAAATGTATATAAGTTTTAGCGATTTTAGTTGTGTTTGAAAGTTTACATCCCCTTCCATAAAATAAAGGGCAAAATTCACAGTAATGATTCAAAATAATTAGAAACTGTTAAATGTAATAATAAATAAAAATGTAGTAATATATAATTTAATAAAGTAAAATATTGATTTTTGGAGTTTTTGTTTAAATAAATAATTTATATATTAAAAATTAAAACTGTCCCCGACAAATCAAAACAACTTGCTCATGAACAGTGGAGCAAAACACCTGTCAACAGGTGTAGAAGTCTTATTGAACATTACAGAAAAAAATCTCTGATTGCAGTGGGTTGCTCAACAACATTTTAATTTAAGAGCTCCATCATGCTTGTATTCTTGTTTTATTTTTGCTTCATCTGTTGAAGTAGCAAACAAAATCAATGTCATGATGTTTCTAAAAATTCTTATTATTAATTTAGTCCATCTCAACATTTTTCACTCAGCTGATTTTTTTTCTGTAGGTTATTTAATGGGATGATAAAATTTCAAGCACAAATATATATGAATTTCATACAAATGAGTCAAACCAAATATTATATTTACCTCCCCTTTCTGTATATGGACCACCAGGACTCAATTCGCTGGTTGTTGGTAGAGGAACCAAACATGTGGCTTGATTCACCTCTGAAGTGGTCATCATGATGGTGACGTAGCGAACACTGAACAGCAGCCATGATACCATTTTCCGTGCCACAATCAGTTCTCAGTCTCATGGGGACAACACCAAGGTCTCGGACACACGACAAAAAATTGTGCGCGATAACTGAAGGGTTATTGTTTGTTGGTCCACATTTGAGCCACAGGACTTTCCGAGAAAATCCATCTATGCATCCTGAAATGGCTAACCCAAATGGTTTAAGTTTGTCATATCCATCGGCATGCCACATATAGTTGGGTCCAAGTGAATGATAGGTTCTCCTGATGAATCGTCGGCGTGCTCTCCTCTCGCATCCTCGAGGATTAAGCGTCCGGAGTAAATTCATGACATCGTCTCTCTTCACTTTGAGATGGTGCTTTTGTCTCAGTACTTGCCACATGGTTCTATACCCAAACAGTTCTCCAGGTCCACGAAGTTCTTCCCTGATTGCGTTTATTACAGTGGCTCTGGGGCTATAATATTTTCTCCTGTACAAACCAGCATTATTAAGTTTACTTTTAAGAGTTCTCAAACTCATCTTAACACCGTGTAAACTTGACATCATGTCCAAGATTACACTATATGAGTGACCCTCATTGAAATATTCAGTGCAGTATTGCAGAACATCGAATCCTGCCACCTGGTCCGTGTCCCGTAAAAGTTCCAGAGACCGTCCGCACGAACAACAAAATTGTGTAAACTGGCTGAAATGTGCTCCACAATAAGGGCAAAACATTGTTCGGTCAGTGTAAAAACAGCTTCAGTGCAATTCTTTCTATCTAATTTTCGCCGCTGACTTTCCAAGCAGGAGGACTACAGATTGAGCTGTTTGTACTACAAGTCAGGGTAATCGTGACGTCACATCCGGCCACTGGGACATTCCCTTTCCGTGTAGCCGTCTTTTGTTAATTTGTTTTTGGCTATGTAACTGTGTTTTGCCACTTGTGTTTCGTTTGTTGTAAATTTGTTTTCTCAAATGTAAAGTTGTTTTATGATTTGTAAAAGTGTTTCGCTTGTTGTAATTTTGTTTTCTCAAATGTAAAGTTGTTTTATGATTTTTAAAAGTGTTTCGTTTGTTGTAATTTTGTTTTCTGAAATGTAAATTTGTTTTATGATTTGTAAAAGTGTTTAGTTTGTTGTAAATTTGTTTTCTGAAATGTAAATTTGTTTTATGATTTGTAAAAGTGTTTCGTTTGTTGTAATTTGTTTTCTGAAATGTAAATTTGTTTTATGATTTGTAAAAGTGTTTCGTTTGTTGTAAATTTGTTTTCTGAAATGTAAATTTGTTATATGATTTGTAAAAGTGTTTCGTTTGTTGTAAATTTGTTTTCTGAAATGTAAATTTGTTTTCTCAAATGTAAAGTTGTTTCAAGATTTTTAAAAGTGTTTCAGATTTTGTATTGTTGATTTGCACTTCGTTTTCTGAAATGTAAATTTGTTATATGATTTGTAAAAGTGTTTCGTTTGTTGTAAATTTGTTTTCTGAAATGTAAATTTGTTTTCTCAAATGTAAAGTTGTTTCAAGATTTTTAAAAGTGTTTCAGATTTTGTATTGTTGATTTGCACTTCCCAGCCACCGTATTAAACAGAACAATACATCTTCTTTCACTTGTTACAAAACACAGAAAAAATATCTTTCATGTGAAACTAAATTATAACTTGCCTTTAAAGTACCTTAGTTCACTCTTAAATTGTTAAAACTCTTGTAATAGACCTAAATAGCTTGGTAAAAATTACCGTGCTTCAAACAGAAAAAAATTCTTAAACTTCAGCTTGACTTTATGCAACACTGCTTACCCCCTTAAGCACTTATAGAGTCCCTTTCAAAGTTAGCAAGATTAATTCACCTCTTCACATTTAACTTATTTTAAACGTGTTACTTGGTGGTAAATTAAGCCCGCTGCACTCCTGGACATCTGCTGCCTTTGGTTCGGGTCATTTCAGCGTGTGGTCAGTCTTTCCTTTGATGCTAGAGAGTGACGTCACCCCTTAACGAGCTGCTCCTTCGTCGGCTCCGCAGCGGCTGCAGGCTCCGCTCCCCTCTCTGCACTTCTCCAACCCGAAGCAGGCTGAGTTCTGACTGCTACTCCTCTAGAGATAATCAAGGCTCAACGTCGTTCTTTTGGTTTTAACAGCCATTTATTGTGGACACGTCTTATAAAGCCCCAAAAAATGCCGTCAGAACTAAGAAGGGAAACAGAACCCAAATTAGCTCTAAACAAATATAAAGCTTTACACAAATAAATATAGGTAAAACAAAGTCATACCTCATTGGCCGCATAAACTCCAGAGGAATAAAGATAACTTATACAGCTTTTCTTAGAAAATCAGTCTTAAAGCTTTCTGGTGAAACTTCTTGAAGAAACGTGCAAAAAAAAGAATTGTGTCAATCAATCTTCCCGTGGGCAACAACGTGAAATGCGGAACAAAAAACATAGGTTCCTCCTTACATTTTAATGAGCTTTTTAACCAATGTACAAAAACATAAATTTACTGAAAGTTATTTATTTATTTATGATTAAACTTTTAATTTCAATACTATTATGTATTAACTCTCGCTTTGAACTAAATATTAGAATATTTAAATGAGTTGACTCTGATGGCAGCTACAAACATTATATGGTGAGTTAGTTCATCAAGATAAAGACTTTTCAATATCTTTCACTTATAGCAAAGACGGCTGGCTAAGCTTACTGTGGGTACTAGGCCCAACTTAAATCCCTCAAAACTGCAGCCGTAACTTAACCAAATTTTTTTTTTTTTTTTTTTTTTTTTTTTTTTGCATGGTCAATCAGACTCCTATTAAAATGCCACCATCAGTATCAAACGCCCTATCATCTGTAGTATCACTAAATCTGTGATCAACCTCATTGTGTGGCTTGGCCTTTATCAAACATCAAGCCAGGATCCACTGATCATGTTTGGTCAAACTCAGCTTTATC